ACAATAAAGTTTTGAAGTTTCAATTACTTTCAGGGGCATAATAACAACAATAAAGATGGCTGAGGCGGAGGGAGATGACCGCGATAGACGGGTAATCAAAAACGCACCCAAAGCTTGGAAAGCGGACATCTGGGCACATTTCGGATTCTACGAAGTTAATGGGAAACTAGATAAGACTTATGCAGTGTGTAAAACCTGCCACACTAAAATCAAGCACGTTGGCAATACAACTTCACGAACCATGTTGATCGTTGGCATCCTGAGTTGGCTTCAACAACAACAACACAAAAAGTCGACACATCCCAGCTGATGAAAAATTTGCCTTGTTGTGTGCAGTAGAATTTTGATGCATCGCAATGCAACATAGAATCGAATTGAATCGAATCGTTACCTGGTGAATCGTAATCGAATCGAATTGTGAGGGCAGTGCCAATGCACACCCCTACTAATATGCATTGTGAAAAGCACTATACAAATAAATGTGAATTGAATTGCAAAGTTAAAAAGCACAAAGTCACTCCAGGGGGAGTTATTCTCCATATCAGTAAGCACTGTTTTTGAAGTCCCTGATATTGTAGTCTTAAAGTTTTTTTTGTTTTGTTTTTTTGTGTTTGTTTGTTTTTCCCTGGGACATATGTGTCACAATATTCCTCATTTAAATAATTCCCGGCCAAGGCATATGAAAAATAAAGCGGTGATGCCTGGTTGAGTTGCGTTAGTAGTATGTTATGTAAATATTATGGTTATTAAAAGTATGTAAACTCGCGGTTATGGTAAGGGGTTTGACATTTCCGAAACACGCACAAAGCAGTTGACAAATCATAACACACCGGTCCAGCCAACCAATCAGAGCACATTGAGCAGTTTGGAAGGAGGGGCTTCACAGAGACAGAAACTAAACAGGAGTGCGTTTCCCGTACGACGACGTAACTCCCTGCTTGACTAACATAGTACGATAGCCTGTTTAAAACCAGACCATTATCAGTTGTAACTGAGTTATGGTCTGGCAAAGCGTCATAGACAAATCATTTCCAGAGGGGTGTCATCAACGGACGTCGCGGATAGACCTAAAACCAATCAGAGCGAAGAAGGAGATGACGTATGCAGAGCGGCGGAGAAACATCTCTGAGTGTTGTTCTTTGCTCGGTTTTTAACAAAAAGGAAACGTTCAAATCGCTTAAAACAGACGTGATAGCTGATTCGAACGAGTGATTTCCGACGACGGCATCCATCTTTGTTTGAATGAGCTCTTTGCCAGACTAACTTTCAGAGCAAATCTAAATTTGCCGGAAGTTGTCTGGGTTTTCCCAGGCTAATAGTACGATGCATCGTTGAAGAAATCAACTAGCTAGTCACGACTGTTTCCCAAAACCATATTGTCGCAAATTGCTCATTCAACCACATTGGTTAATAATGTCATGCAGGTGGCTGAGTAATAACTACTTTTAATTAATCTGTTTTATCGACATAATACTAGATGTTTTGCTATAAATTACAGACAGATCTGAGGACTATTTCTCATTTTTCTCAGTTATTTTGCTTTATTTCCAGATTCAATCATAGGCTCGTTCTTGCATTCTGGAGCACGTTCGCACATCCGCACTCTTCAAAAAATAACGCTTTAAATCTCTTGACAAACTAAAAGACGTAAATAACATTTGTATGTATTCTAAATAATACATCCTTATCTTGAGGAAAATAAGCAAGCTTTTTTTTTTGAGTCCATGTCATGCAAACAAGAAACTATGCTTCCAACCACAGGTCGACTTGTCAAACTATTCTGATAACGACGGAACTTGCGACCATAGTTAGCTAACGATGCTTTTGGAAAACGAAACTCGGAGTGATTACTGACAGACTGCAACAGACAGAGAGCTGTGGCAACAATGTGAAATATGTGAAAAATATATAACTTTTAAACATTCTGTCATGAAAACTATTTTAGTAGACCCCCAAAACAAAATTAAGACTTTGTAAAGATGCATATTATGTCCCCTTTAATACCTGGAGAATGTTTTCCATTAACATCAGTTTGTTTCAATGGCATTTGGCAATAGTTTGAAAACAGCTGATCTGATACAGTCACTACTGAAAAATGTAGACACCCGTTCAAACTTCTGCTCTCATTCAGATTGTGTCCCTGCTTGCTTCCATTTCACATCACATAATCTAACTTTATCTTTTCATCGCACTTCCTTTTTCTCCCCCCAATCCAATCTATTTCTGGTCATCTCCGTCTCAGAGGAATTATTCTGAATGGCTCTTTTGCTAAAGGTCACTGTCATTTGGATGGAAAACGAATGACAGCTAATTTTAGTTGTGCATTAAAGGACAAAGCACCACTCCCCTTTTGTCAATCACACTTTTTTTCATGAAATACTTCACTTTAATCATAGAGCTTGTTAGAAAAGTTATTAACTTTCTGGTTATTAGTTTCAGAAAACAAACAAGGCATACATTATAGAGGCATGTTTTAGTGACTGGCAGGATGGAGGTAAGCCAACACCTCTAGAAATGTCAGAGCCTGGAATCTGCAACCAGAGGAGCCGGTCATTCCGGACACTGTAAGTAATGCATAGCGCTGTCCAAGACACCATGTGGCTGACCACTAACAGAAACCCAATGACTCCATGGGGTCACTGAGTAAAGGTGACCTTTTGGAATCAAGGCCTGTATTACAGAAGCTTCTTATCTTAATTTTTGACTTAAGATTTGATGAGTTTCATTTCTATATTGAAATACCGTACTATGTTTTCTAAGTATACAGGATACGATTTGGAGGTTTCTATAATACAGCCCCAGATTTTCAGTATTCATATAAAAGCATGTGTGATACTGTTTTATTTTCTAAACTTTTCTGTTTTTAAATAACATTGACTAAATTAAATGTTCAATGTCAATAAAAAAAAAGACATTTAAAAAAGACAAGGTTCACATTTTTTTAAAATAAAAAAATAGTCAAATGTTACTGTATCAGTAGTGATGAAGCATAGCTATTTTGGCAACTTTACAACCAGGTCTTATTTGTTAATGTATTGACAATGAGCATTATATTTTTATATATTTGTTAAAAGGTACACGTATATTTAAATAATATGTAGAAACTTTTAAACAATCAGTCAATACATCAGAATTCCTTCTTCAAAAACCTGTTTTTGTATTACCTTGATTTGCTATGGTAAGCCTGTTATAATTGTTTATATTTTAGACCTGACGGGATAGTTTTCATGGGGAATTGCATACATACGCATCTCGTCATATCTGTAAATAGAAAAAAGTTTGCTCTGGCTACTGACGTGTGTATGGTGTGGGAGTTGCATAAGTTAGTTGTCACAATGAGCAGGAAAGGTTAACATGAAGCCCGCTAAATATCCAACCTCCAGTGAAATCACCCGTTTAAAAAGAGGAGAGTTCGCTGGCAAAAATAAAACAATGGCTTGGCTTCTCGGAGATAGCGGGAACTGAGGGATTTGAAATGTGAAATGTGTTGTAAAAGTGACGAACGTGGAGATTGCGTTTTTATTACTCAACAGGTGAGTAAGGCATTTTATTGATCAGCAGATAAATTGCCACATATAACTCTCTAACAGAGTTCATTGTAGAGCTTTATCCAGGGTTCTCAAGTCTCACGCATTGGCCGTGAGACACACGCAATTCAACCAGTTCACACGCTCACACGCCACACCATGTATTTCTCACGCTGAAAAGGCAATGCCAACCAAGTTGTCCTGCAAGCTTTATATAACGTTGTATACGAGGCGCAGGCACACAAAGTGAAGTTTCCTGCCGCCAGCGCGTCCGTATCTCGGCCAGATTGCGTTCGTTACTAGGCAACATAGATGCGCGAACACACGGAAGTTGACGGAACATTCTCGGTCATCGCGCGAACGCATAGATGGCGCGAACGTATACGCACACACATTCTCGGCCACCGTACGTTCGTTAGGTAACCAACAATATCGCGCGAACACACGTCGTGATCATAGGTCGTGATGGAGAAGGTAAGTTGGAAGAAAGCTCGTCTAAAATTTTTAGGCTAGAACATTTAATATATAGCCAATCGTAAACATTATTATTGATGCAGTCAAAAACTCTACAACTACTTTGCAACCAAGCCAGAAGCTTTTGCTAAGGTAAATGTTAGTGGGTATGGGAAGGAATGAAGTTTATTGAAGAATTGAATTTTATTTTAAATTATATATTATACTGTATTAATAGTCTTTCTAGTTACATTAAGGCTACATGTATTAAGGCAGAGTGCTCTGGGTAATATTTTATATCCTGTCAAAACATACATTAATCATTGCCATTGTATTTGTATTTTTCAAGTCAGGAAAAAATGCAAAAAGATTTGTTTTTCCAAATTGTTTGGAGCAATTTGTTATATTTTAGTAATTTTGAAATACAACATTAAAGAGTATATTTGATGTGATGAATTGCTCTGTCATTTATCAGATTTACCAATTGTTATAATTTTAATTTGTGCTGGTTAATTATGAACAATGGGTAAAATTGGGGGGCGGGGCTCCACTGGGGCTCCTCCCCTTGGGCTCCTCCCCTAACCAAATGTGATCTCACTCCAAGCTTTTGATAAAACTTGAGAACCCTGTTTATCTATTGTGAAGGGTCGTTTCATTATGGGTTGTTTTTCAAGGAAGTACAGTGTCTATTAATGGATAAAGCTACAGTAACATCTTCAGCACAGCTTGAGATCCTTTCCATCTAAACTGGTTATATCTCTTAAAGGGATAGTTCACCCAAAAAAAAGAAATTAGCCCATGATTGAATCACCCTGAAGCCATCCTCGGTGTATATGACATTCTTCTTTCAGACGAATACAATCGGGGGTTTAAAAAATGTCCTGGCTCTTCCAAACTTTATAATGGGAGTGAAAAGGTATATTTTTTTGGAGGTCCATCAACGTGCATCCATCCATTATAAAAGTGCTCCACACGGCTCTGGCGGATTAAAAATCTGAAGTGAAGTTGTTCTGCCCCCACTTTGTGTTGCATTAGAGACATCTAGTGGTGTAAAAGTTGTATTGCATTTGAGTTCTCATATTTAGTCCCTCCTCTCTTGCCGTTGTTTTTTCCTGTTTGCTTCTGACTCTGGTCTACTGAGAGGTCATGCAGCAGTTACTCTTTTCTCTTTGCCTTGGGTAGTTTTTGAAGGTCTAAGTCTGTAAGTATTTCTGTAGAAAGTATATCTACTTTGCCAAATTCTTTGTGTATTGTCCGTTTTAGCATAATATGTATGTTGTATTAATAGATGCTAATCGCCATTAGCATTTCTCCATAGACATCCATGTTAATAATGTTAGCTTAAATGCTTATTAGTCCTGCAGATCTCATTATATGGCTAATTTTTCTTATGGAATAGCTATATATGTTAGAATTGAGTTGCATATTCATGTATATGTATATATGGGCAGTTTGTAATGCCATATTATAATGTTTTCACAGTTTTACAAAATTGGAAAGATCCTTACTAAAGGCCTCTCTCTACTCCGGTTTCCTGGGTCTTTATTTAATGGGTCTTATGTTAGCTATCTGCTACGCTAACCTGTCAAAGCAAGAGCAGAATAGTAAAAAGACTTAAAATTCAGTCCGCTATCATAAGAAGCGTAAGTTATCAACACTGCAGCCCAGAAGTTCAGCATAGATTCAACAATCTATCATGGAGGAAAAAAGTGAAGAAAAACCTCTGCTAGAAGATGGACAGTCTCAACACTCCTTCCATACCAGACGCTCAACCCATTCTAGTCGTGCCTCATCACACGGTTCTGCTGCCACAAGAGCTAGAGCTAAAGTGGAAGCTGCAAAAGTCAAAGCTTCATATGCACAAAGAGAAGCAGACATGCTAATAAAGCAGGCACGGTTAGAAGCAGAAGAATTTAAGAGAAAAACTGAGCTTGAAGTGGAACTGAAACGTAGGACAACTGAGTTACAGGCCAACCTCAAAGCACTGAAAATACAGGGCGCTGCTGAAGCAGCTATTACAGAGGCTGAAATCCTTGAAGCAGCTTATGAGGAAGAAGTTGGAAAACCAACACAGCAGAATGTGACCAAATTAGCTCTGTATCACTCACATCAACGCACTAGTGAGTATGTGCAACAACATTCTCAGGAGCATGGAGAGCAACAGTCTCAACTCATGGAACCACAACCCATCTTTCCACCACAGCACCAGCCAAACATGGACAACGGTGATACAGATAATCGTGGAATCCAAACACACAGTTGGGAAGAAATTAGCGATGGCATGTTCCAAGAATTAACAGCACAACGCCAGAGCACGAGCACAGCCTACGCTCAGCAAAGCCATGCAACCCCTTTGAAGTTCTACGAAGATGAACGCAGCCCTCTACAGACTCACGTCACACAATCAAAAGGTAAAACCTACTTCATGCCCTCTAGAGCACCCCTGCATGATCAGTCAGACACAACAGACTTAGCCAGATACCTGATTCGCAAAGAAATAATTAGCTCTGGGCTCTTAAAGTTTGACGATAAACCAGAGAACTACTGGGCCTGGAAAGCTTCCTTTGTCAACTCCACCAGTGATCTGAACTTAACCCCCAGGGAAGAGCTAGATTTACTGACTAAATGGCTGGGACCACAGTCTACAGAGCAGGCTAAACGCATCCGTGCAGTTCACATCAATAATGCCAGCGCAGGACTCAAAATGGTGTGGCAGAGATTGGAAGAATGCTATGGATCAGCAGAAATTATAGAAAACGCTCTGCTTAAGAAGTTAGAGCAGTTTCCAAAAATATCAAACAGGGACAATGAGAAGCTGTGGGAGCTAGGGGACCTGTTGCTAGAGCTGGAGGCAGCCAGGAAAGATGGATTCTTACCTGGACTATCTTACCTCAACACACCACGGGGAGTCAATCCCATTGCACAGAAGCTTCCCTATAACCTTCTGGAGAAATGGATCTCAGTTGGCTCTAAATATAAAGACGAACATCAGGTTCAATATCCCCCCTTTTGTGTTTTTGAAAAGTTTATCAGAGACCAAGCAAAGACAAGAAATGACCCCAACGTGCCGAACTGACCATGAGTGGTTCAGTCAAGACGGATAAACCTCTGAAACCCACCAAATCATATGTGTTCACCAGGAAGACCGAGGTTTCTTCAGAAAGTGGTGATAAGCAAAACATTAGGGAGAAAAAGGTTGAGGATCCAGATAGATTATGTCCGTTACATAATAAGCCCCATCCTCTAAGAAAATGCCGTGGCTTTCGCAGCAAGACCGTAGATGAACAAAAAGCTTACCTCAAAGAGAAACATATTTGTTTCAAGTGTTGTGCCTCAACAAGTCACCTCGCTAAGAACTGTGACAAATCTGTGCAGTGCAAAGAGTGCAACAGCAACAAACACTTAGCTGCGCTTCACCCAGGGCCAGTGCCATGGAAGTCTTTCAGCTCTGCCGTGAAGGAGGATCACGGCGGGGAGCAGCAGGAGGATGAGACTCCAGAGGTTATGTCAAAGTGCACAGAAGTCTGCGGGGACTCATTCGGTTCCCGATCATGCTCCAAAATATGCTTGGTCCGAGTCTACCCTGCAGGCCAAAGAGAGAAAGCTGTTAAAGCATATGCTGTCCTTGATGAGCAGAGTAATAAGTCCCTGGCCAAGACCGAGCTATTCGACCTTTTGGGCATTGGAGCAAATGCTGCACCATACACCCTTAAAACATGCTCAGGGATTGTGGAAACATCAGGACGACGTGCAAACAACCTCATAGTTGAGTCAATAGATGGAAATGTACAGATATCGCTTCCATCACTCATAGAGTGTGACATGATGCCAGATGACCGTTCAGAGATCCCCTCAGCAGAAATAGCACAGCATTATTCCCACCTCAAGCCAGTGGCGGATAAAATCCCAGCCATTGATCCAGATGCAGCCATTCTTCTTCTTCTCGGCAGAGACATACTGTGCGTACACAAAGTACGTAAACAGTATAATGGACCCAAAAATGCTCCATATGCCCAACAACTTGACCTCGGCTGGGTCATTGTTGGAGAAGTATGTCTCAGAGGAGCCCACAAGCCTAGCAGCATTAATGTTTACAGGACCGATGTCCTACCTACTGGACGTACGTCTTTCCTTAGACCATGTCATAGTGTTATTCACATCCAGGAAAAGTTTGACAAGAGGAGATCAAGTCACAGTATACAAACCTTGAAAGAGATAGACATACTGGCAGATGACATTGATGATCTTGGAAGCACGGTATTCAAAAGAACAAAAGAGGATGAGAAAATTGCTTTGTCTATCGAAGATCAAGCCTTCCTTGAGATCATGGACAAAAACGTCCACATGAATGATGCAAACAGTTGGGTAGCTCCCTTACCATTCCATTCCACAAGGCGCCGTCTCCCAAATAATAGAGAGCAAGCAGCCAAACGTCTCTCATCTCTGTGTCGCACTTTGGAAAGAAAGCCAGACATGAAAAAGCAATTTATGGATTTCATGCAGAAAATCTTCGAGTCAAACCAGGCAGAACTAGCTCCGCCATTGAAAGAGAATCAAGAGTGCTGGTATCTACCAACATTTGGTGTCTACCACCCTAAGAAGCCAGACCAAATACGGGTGGTGTTTGACTCTAGTGCCAGCCACGAAGGTGTCTCCCTCAACGACATCCTCTTAAAGGGACCAGACCTCAATAATACTCTTCTTGGTGTCCTTCTTCGTTTCCGCAGGGAGCCTTTTGCAATCACAGCAGCTGAGCAACAGATGTTTTATTGTTTCACAGTCTGTGAGGAACACCGTGATTTCCTAAGGTTCTTGTGGTTTGAAGATAACGACTTCACAAAACCAGTGACTGAATACCGAATGACGGTACATGTATTCGGTAACAGCCCTTCACCAGCTGTGGCCATTTATGGCTTGAGACGGGCAGCGCAAGAAGGACAAAAAGAACATGGCCAAGATGCTAAGCAGTTCGTCATGCGGAACTTTTATGTGGATGATGGACTCGCCTCATTCTCCACTGCAGTAGAAGCCATCGACATTCTGAAAAGAACAAGGGAGATGTTAGCTGAGTCAAGCATCAAGTTGCACAAGATAGCATCAAATAGCAGCACTGTTATGAACGCTTTCCCATCTGAAGATCATGCCAAAGATCTTAAGGATCTGGATCTGTCATCTGATCCTTTGCCTAGGCTAGGCCTCAGATGGGACCTGCAAACAGACAGCTTCTCCTTCTGCGTGTCTGATGAGGAAAAACCATTCACTAGAAGGGGCATCCTTTCGACGGTCAACAGTGTCTACGATCCCTTGGGGTTTGTGGCACCAATCACGATTCAGGGAAAGGCTCTGGTGAGAGATATCTCCATAGAAGAGTACGATTGGGACACTAAACTACCAGACGTCAAAATAATCCAGTGGAAAGCCTGGAAAGATTCCCTGATGGAACTTAAGCTACTCCAGATCCAGAGGACCTACCTTTCTGTTTCTCTGCTTGCCACTGTACACAGAGAAATTTGTGTCTTCGCAGATTTATTTATTTAACATGGACATACAATTACATTGGACGAACCATATGCATTTGTTTAAGTGTTTTAGCACAAATGCTAATTTTCAACACCTGTCCACGGGAGGCTTTTGGAAATAAAATACAATAACAAAACTAGTAAGCAAAATAATACTAAAAATACTAACAGAAAAGGATAGCTAAAATATACCATATAATTACAGAGAAAAGAAAAAACAAATTGCATACATAAATTATAAAGCAGAAGCATCAGAGTCAGAGAATATCATTTGTTATTCATGCGAGCACTGCTGTTTAGTTTTTAGCCATTGTTTAAGTTCTCTGTTAAAAGCTTTGCCATCGGTCTCTAGTTTTAAATCAGTAGGCAAAGCATTCCAGAGTTTTGGCCCCTTTACTGAGAAGGCAGACTGACCAAAGGAGGTCTTACATTTTGGGACTAAACAGTCACCTCTTAAAGTGGCTCGTGTGTTCGCCCCCTGAGAGCTTTGGCGTCTACTGATTAATATAGAAAACTGCGGTGAAACATGATTATTTAGACATTTGAAAACCAATTTAATATAATTAAAATTAATAAAACTGTCAAAACCAAGAAGCTTATGCTTTCTTAGAACATCACAATGATGCCATCTCATGGGTTTCCGGTCCATGATTTTTATTGCCTGTTTGTAGAGAGAGAGAATCGGTATTAATTTATTTGAAGAGATTTGTGACCATGATGTGACGCAATATGATAGGTGTGAGAATATCATTGCATGCATATATAGTTTTGCAGTGTGACAGGACAAATCCCTTCTTATAAACCGAAAACAATTTATATTTGGTCTGACCTTCTTGCAGATGTACTTAACATGATTATCAAATTTTAATGTTTTATCCAGAATAATCCCAAGGTACTTGACTTCATTGACTGCTTCTATTGCTTCATTTTTTATTTGTACCTCAAACATATCGCTAACCGGCCTATTTCCTATAGAGAAACACATGGAGACTGTTTTCTTAACATTTAGAGATAGATGCATCAACTCTAGCTATATCAGCTGTAGCCTACCTTAAGGGAGTTGATACAGAAGGACGCAGTCATGTCGGGTTCATCATGGGGAAGTCCAAGCTGGCTCCACGTCCTGCGCACACTGTTCCTCGTTTGGACCTGTGTGCAGCTGTCTTGGCAACAGAGCTTGCAGACCTGATAATGGATGAAATCGATGTGGAGATTCACACAGTCAAGTTCTACACAGATAGCAGGATTGTACTTGGCTACATTCATAACACATCCAGGAAGTTCTATGTATATGTCGCAAACAGAGTGACAAGAATCAGGAAATCATCGCACCCTAATCAGTGGCACTATATCAGCACCAGCCATAATCCGGCAGATCATGGATCCAGGTCGGTCCCAGCCGCTCTCCTAAAAGACACCAACTGGTTTTCAGGTCCAGCCTTTCTGACAAAACCTGAGTCGGATGATTCTCCTCAGCCAGAGATATTTGACCTTTTACATCCAGAGTCTGATGCAGAAATTCGCCCTCAAGTTTCAACCTATGCTACAAAAACTACAGGTGGAGGTATCGGCTCTTATCGGTTTAGTAGATTCTCCAGTTGGAAAGCACTTACCCGTGCAACAGTCAGGCTCATCCAAAAGGCCAGAGCCTACTCCAAAAATACAGACCATAAACAGAAAATGGGTGAGCTTCCTCAAGCAAAACTCATAATAATGAGAAGCGTACAACAGGACTTATTTAAAGAGGTAATTAAAAACATCTCTAAGGGTGAAGAAGTCTCAAGACAGTTCAATAAGAAGTTTGGATCCGATCATGGATGATAATGGTTTGCTGTGAGTTGGAGGTCGAATATCGCCAGCAGACATGTCCTGGGAAGAAAAGCATCCAATCCTTCTACCAAAAAACCATCATGTCTCTACTCTGCTGGTAAGACATTATCATGAACAAGTTGCTCACCAAGGACGACACTTCACTGAAGGTGCAGTTCGAACAGCTGGACTGTGGATAACAGGAAGTAAGTGATTGGTGTCAAGTGTGATTCACAAATGTGTGATCTGCAAAAGATTAAGAGGAAAGTTGGAAGAACAAAAAATGTCTGACTTACCTCTGGACAGATTCACCATGGATCCTCCGTTCACGAATGTTGGACTTGACGTTTTCGGACCTTGGACCATCTCGTCGCGCAGGACCAGAGGTGGTCAGGTAGAAAACAAACGCTGGGCAGTTATGTTCACCTGTCTGAGTACACGAGCGGTGCATATTGAGGTCGTAGAGACCATATCAACCTCCAGCTTCATCAATGCTTTGAGGAGATTTACCGCTATCAGAGGTCCTGTAAGACTGCTCCGTTCTGATAGGGGCACAAACTTTGTTGGAGCTTGCAAAGAACTGCAAATAAACTCAGAAGATCCAGAGTTGAAAGCTCACCTGCAAGAAAAAAGTTGCACCTGGACATTCAATCCTCCACATTCCTCTCACATGGGTGGAGTGTGGGAGAGGATGATCGGTGTTGCACGCCACATTTTGGATGCCATGTTGTTGAAGGAGAACTGTCGCCTCTCTCATGAAGTACTTGTGACCCTCATGGCTGAAGTCATGGCAATCATGAACGCAAGACCTCTAGTTCCAGTTTCCTCTGATCCAGCGATGCCATCTGTTCTCACACCAGCAATGCTGCTCACTCATAAGATTGACCCAGTATCTGCTCCTCTGGGGAACATGGATCTCAAAGATCTCTATAGCAAGCAATGGAGGCAAGTCCAAAGCCTCGCTGAAACTTTCTGGAGACGCTGGAAGCAAGAGTACTTGGAGACGCTCCAACCCCGCAAGAAGTGGAAATCAGAAAGACCGAACCTGCAAGTTGGAGACGTGGTACTCCTTAAAAACACTCAAGTTAAAAGGAATGAGTGGCCCACAGGTGTTATTGCAGAAAACCATCCCCAGCCGTGATGGCAGGATTCGGAAAGTCAATGTGAAGATCATGAGACAGGGTACTCCCAAGGTGTATTCAAGACCTGTTTCAGATGTTGTGCTGCTTCTCAGTAAAGGGACATAGTGGTATTATTTAATACCAGGCGGGGAGTGTTCTGCCCCCACTTTGTGTTGCATTAGAGACATCTAGTGAGTTTTCATATTTAGTCCCTCCTCTCTTGCCGTTGTTTTTTCCTGTTTGCTTCTGATTCTGGTCTACTGAGAGGTCATGCAGCAGTTACTCTTTTCTCTTTGCCTTGGGTAGTTTTTGAAGGTCTAAGTCTGTAAGTATTTCTGTAGAAAGTATATCTACTTTGCTATATTCTTTGTGTATTGTCCGTTTTAGCATAATATGTATGTTGTATTAATAGATGCTAATCGCGATTAGCATTTCTCCATAGACATCCATGTCAATGTTAGCTTAAATTCTTATTAGTCCTGCAGATCTCATTATATGGCTAATTTTTCTTATGGAATAGCTATAAATATATGTTAGACTTGAGTTGCATATTCATGTATATGTATATATGGGCAGTTTGTAATGCCATATTATTATGTTTTCACAGTTTTACAAAATTGGAAAGATCCTTACTAAAGGCCTCTCTCTACTCCGGTTTCCTGGGTCTTTATTTAATGGGTCTTATGTTAGCTATCTGCTACGCTAACCTGTCAAAGCAAGAGCAGAATAGAAGTGATGCATTCGTGTAAAAAAAAATCCATATTTTTTTTTTCAAAAGAATAACACTTAACAATGTATGACGTAGGATGTAGGAGTAGCGTAAGCTTTGACGCCTCTCGCGGTTCAAACAAACAGGGTTCGGCAACCCGTTCATCATTAAGTCTTGAGTCAGGGTCAAGGGTTAGTCTTTCGCCGTAAATCGATGCGTACGAACTTGCATGTTCAAAGTGCATGTTTTTGAAAACGGTCTCCGTTTAAACAACAAAACGTGAATCTCTGAAGACGATGACATCATGCTCATGCATACTACGTGTTCAGTCTATAGTGTTTAATCGCAATCTAATGGCCTGGCAGCAGAATAAAGCGTTTTGGTAACACTTTACAATACGGGTGCACTAATATGCATTAATTCATACTTAACTAATGCACAGATAATCATGAATTAATGTATGACTCATGAAGAACTAAACCATTAATTAATTATTACTGCATCAGCAACTAATAAAGAGTCTATATGATTGATAGATTAAGTAATAAATGAATTGCTATTAATTAAACGTGTCATCATGTATTAATTCCTTAATAACATATTGTATTAACTAATAGTGTAAATTAATGTGTTAATTACCACAATTAGTCAAAGCTATGCACTTCAACTTCTAGTTGTCTGCTTTAATGAATCATTAGCTAATGATTTGCAAAGGTATCATTATGTTATGACTTTACTTGTTGAGGCACATGACTATTAACTAATTGTTAAGTAATATGTCATTATGGTCATGGGTTTTGTCATCCCCACTAAAGGTCTGTGGGGCAGTTGCACATGCAGTGAGTGTACTGTCAGAGAGTGTTTGAAGGATGGGTAAGTTGGGCCGCACACAAATATCAGCACACCAGAATCTGAAATACTGACGCTGTTACACCGTGTCAGAAATAGAGTGAGGCATCAGTTTACTGACGGGGTTTTGTTGAGTCGTGTAGCATTGTGTCGCATCCAGTGTTGTATCACTGATTATAATGGGTTCTAGTTTCTTTGTCCGGTCTAGACACAGTGTTATGAAATAGCAGAGCCCGGCCGCATATTCTCAGTGTTCTTCCTTTAAATCCTAGAGCTCAAGCTTAACCTGACACACTGTGCCATGAACTGTTGGATGCGGCGGTTCATCTGGCACAGTGGAATCCCGGTTGTAGAAAGCGGGAAATTGAAATCCATAGTGTGGATGTCAAAACCAAAATTACATATTACTTTACTTGCTGAGGCACATGACTATTAACTAATTGTTAAGTCATAACATAATGACACCTTTGCAAATCATTAGCTAATGATTCATTAAAGCAGACAACTGGAAGTTGAAGTGCATAGCTTTGATTAATTGTGGTAATTAACACATTCATTTACACTATTAGTTAATAAAATATGTTATTAAGGAATTAATACACAATGACACATTGAATAATAGCAATTCATGTATTTTTAATCTATTAATATACTCTTTATTAGTTGCTGATGTAGTAATAATTAATGGTTTAGTTCTTCATGAGTCATAACTCATGACTATCTGTGCATTAGTTAAACATGAATTAATGCTTATTAGTGCAACCATATTGTAAAGTGTTACCAGCGTTTTTATGGATCCGTGTGAATGGGGATCGTTTTGACAATGTCTGTACGTGGAAAACTCAAAGGAAAAACCTCTCCGTTTTAAGCATATCGTTGTTGTAGTGGTTAAGTTTAGGTATTGGGTAGAAGTAAGGGATGTATAATATGGTAAATTAGGCATTAATATGTGTATAAGGCATAATATGCAATACGGCATATGTGCTTTATAAGTAGGGTGCAACGGGGCTAACGGTACACCTTAAGAAAAATTACCTTTACACTACTCCCCAAAGTTTGTACTATTGTTTTTCTGTTACTATCTGTTTAATTTGGTAAATAAAAAAATTGTTAATATGAAACTATATTTTTAAAATAGAAAAACAAACTTTATTTTACTTTATTTTAAAAAGTAAAGATTCTGAAACAGTAAGATTCTCTGTTATTGTTCTGCAAGATGTGGGACCCAGACGCAAATGAGCAGACAAGGTTTTTATTAACAGGACTGAAGACTTGAAACAGCAGGGAGTGAAGCGTGAATCACAGTAAAAACAGTAGGGCAAGGCAGACGACAACGACAGGCAGGATGGATGACCACTGAGACCGTCAGCTAGATGGCGATGACTTGAGTGCAATAGAGGCAGCTCTGAAGGAAAGACCAGGAACACTAGGAACATGCAGATTGATGTAGATCTCAGATGTAGCTCCAGTCTTGCCACCAGGTAGAGTGCTGTTTTTAAGTCACATGACATTTGAATGTCCCTCCAAAACGGTCACCGTCACATGGAAGACACCTGTTAAAGTGCTCCAGAAAATGCTCTATTAACCTAATTTCTAATTATCTCTTCTCAAGTGAGATTTTTTTGCAACATATTTGATAAGTAAATTCGATATTTTTATCATACTTTGATACTTTGTCTAACATAGATTTACTGTAAATTGAGAAAATATCAATGTTTCCATATGGCAACGCTGTACCAGAGTACTTCACTGTATCACAAGTACCACTGTTGTATTTATAGTTGTATTTATGTATAAATAACAAATTGATTCCTTCATTTCAGAAAACGAAAACAGCAATCATTTAGGGAAAGGGCAATAGTTAAAAAGTGCAGAGTTAGCTTTTTCATGTAGGCCAAATGATTGTGAATGATAGGGATTAAATGATAGGGATCTACTTATTTTTGCTTTGCATGGGTTCCAAGAATATAAATCTATCAATTTCTTAAAGAAATGTGCAATTAAATAGAAAAGAAAACACTTCTTTTTTTCCATTTTCCATTATGGTACAGCGTTGCCATATGCAAAATTTCCCTAAATTCCCCCCCCCCATAAAAAAATTTTTTTTAGAAATATATTTGATTTGTATGACTAAAGCTATTTCATGTAAATGGACTGCATTTATATAGCGCTTTCACAGACCCAATGGCCACCAAAGCGCTTTACATAATGCCTCACATTCACCCATTCATACACCAACGGCGGTGTCAGCCATGCAAGGTGCCATCCAGCTCGTCGGGAGCAGCTGGGGTTAGGTGTCTTGCTCATGGACACCTCGACACTTGGTCAGGTGGAACCGGGGATGGAACCACCAACCTTCCAGTTTGTAGACAACCTACATGAACCACTGAGCCACTGATGCCCCATGTGTAATAAAAACTTATTTGAAAAATTATTCCATGGTTAGAACATAATGCGTACCATAGAGGGTTAAATATGATGGTTTCATTATAAATATGATGATTATCTCAACTAAATCTAAACATGTCATGTCAACAAATAGAAAAGTCAGCCAGCTGTTTATTATCGTGTTACAGCAGGGGCACCTTTTACCCAAAAAAACATACTTTTTTATATTCGATCAGCCAAATTTTCCACGTACATCTTGAAAAGCTGATGTTTTGGAAAGTGCTGCGGCAAGTTTGTGTCATCTAGTGGTTTAGAGGAAAATACAATTAAAGGTGCCTTTTACCCTTGTGCGTCTTTTGCCCCGTTTGTACTCTACTAATAAACAGCCAATATGCTATTCCAATGCTATCTCACGACCAATTTGTATGAATTCGTACGACTGAGTAAGAGATTGCTAATTCGTATGAATTTGCCTGATTTGTCTAAACCCCAGTGATGGGTATAGGTTTAGGGGCGGAGTCAGGGGTAGGTAATTCGTACGAATTCATAATTGGGCAACTCGTAAAATAGGTGCGATTTAGCAAAAATTGTATGAATTCGTACGAGTGAGGTCGTATGAATTCGTTAGAATTAGCCACCTCGTAAAATACGTACAAATTGCGGTGAGATCGGGTTGGCCAGTCATATGCAAGCTAATAAGCAACTAGTGAGATATGATCCCCAAACTACAATGTTGTTTCTCGCTCTCTGTGACTGAATCATTAATTATTCCATGATGCAGTAACATCCTTATTTTCATCTTTGTTTCATATTCTCCATCTTGTTTTGTATACATTTCATAGCCTGAGATTCATAACACCTGTTTATCTTTTTGAGAGCACTCTGTGCTTTCATAACACATCTCAAAAGGCTCAGTAATCCCATGTACTCTCTATTGTCGGTTTTGATTAAAAGGACAGAAACGGAGATACAGACCCTCTCCGCCTAAAAGCAACAAAACATGTCTGTTTGTTCAAGTTTCAATTAGCACCAGCACAAATTCTGTTGCAAAAACAATGAATATCGCTGTGGGCACCATGACCCAAATGGTAGCTCTTGAAAACATGAGCAGTGCTAAATGCAAATGATTGATGGGGTTTATTAACACCATAGCCCATTACCTCTTTGAAAAACTGGAAAAAAAAAAGCTTTTTTCAGTGTGTTCCCCCCCCCCCCCCCCATCTTGTCCCTTAAGCAGCTTATTTCAACAAGCAAGATTGAAACAGTATTTTTTTAAGAAAGGAGACCAATATTTCTTCATATGTTTTGTTAATTTGATTATTGTTTAGCCTATTTGTTTAAAGTTAACCTGAATTACAGCTTCATTTTACTTCATACATCATTACAGTCACGCTTTACGTCTGTCTTTTATTTAACCAATGAAAAGTATTAAAAACAGATTGTGATTTAATCTCGTAACTCCATTGGATCCTCAAACTGTCAGTAAACCCTCATAACTCCAGCCGCATCTATCGTGAATGAAATGCATACAATTTTGGACCGTCTCTGCTTGTTTGCAATGCAAGAGTAGCCTAAATAAAGAACTGTTTATATATATATATATATATATATATATATATATATAGTACAGCTTTTTCTTTACTAAGTGTGTGTAGTCTAGCATTTGTCATAGACTGTCGAGTCATAGACTGTCTTGAATAGCC